CACACACACACACATCTCTGGGTCTTATGCTCTGGACAAATACAAAACCCGAAAATTACCTACAAAAATGCATTGAACATGCCGGTGCTCATCCCTTTCTGGCCAGTTGCCACTTGATTCCAGTCTTTATTAAACAATTACACTACAAATAGTCAAATACTCACAATACACCAATTCATCCGAGTTTCTGCTCGACATTATCTCCAAGCTATTAAAAACTAAAAATATATTAATAGGTCCAATACTATTAATTTTTATAACAATGCTCTCTTGATTATTATACAAGTAGTGGAATTCTAATAATAATCACGCTATCTAGTGGCTAGTGTATACAGAGCGGCACGATGATTATAAGATTCGACCATCCCTCCTCCAATATTTATGTTTTAACAAATTAGTTACATGTAACTACTTAACTTAATTATATCGCAAAGATCAAAACCAAAGGTCTAATTAATGATAGTCACTAGTGAACAAATTATGAATGGAATACTAAATAAACTCTTCCAATTTATTTCTGCAATTTTACTACAAAATATTGTCTCCTAAATTTATCCATTTTTCATATATCTGAGTGGAATAATCCTCAAAATGTACAACTGTTTGCATATTAAACCCAACTACATTTTGTGATCCTCCATGGTTTAAACTTTAAAGAACGGACATATAATTAACAACCACAAAAAAAGTATCATCCATGTGTTTTTTCCATATCTAATCCAAGAAAAGAAACTACCTAGCTACTTTTCAAATAATAAATGATTACAACTTTTAATTTGTCAAATGCAAGTATATGATATCATCGGATCACTTCTACAATCATCGTTCATCATTTAAACCTTCCATCGCCGCAACATCTCAATCATAATCTCGTTCCACGTGTCGACCGGACCAGGCAAACACCAATGTAAACAATCATTGTGTACTCTCTCCGGCACACCGTTCTTGAACGGTAACTCGTACATGTACGGACCAGGATGTCCATCTGGTCTTAGCACCGAAATCGCCGTCACGTCCAACGCCTCCAGTCTCACCTCCGCCGTGGCGGCTTTCGCCGCCGCAACCTCCTCCATCTCTATCCGTCGCATATCCAAGTCCAAACCTTCTAGAACTTTCCCTTCTCCGTACGGCTCCGTCATGTTACACGCGTCGAGGCTGTCCCAAGCCCGGCCTTCGAAGTGAGAAGGCGAAAACGTAGTCAAGATCACTTCACGGCGACTTCCGGCAACCGCTTTCAATGTTGTTCTTATTGCTTTTCTAAACACATCGTAAAACCCTACCTCGGTACAGTTGCTTGCTTCGCAAGAATGACATCCCAAAACCGAACCGGACTCGTAATAAACCGCCGGATGTAGAAACCAATGTCCCACGGAGACTATGACCGTATCAAAACGTTCTAAATCATTTCCCCATCTCTCGTCCACTCGGTCTAGATGCAATACATTGTGGTCCAACTTTCCCGATTTTTCCATACCGGCCACAAGAAACGGGGACCAGTAAACCGAGACCGTGACGTTGTGAGATTCGAAACGCCATTTTCTGAATTTGTTGTCTTCTCCGTTTCTGTAAACAAGATCGGGGCTAGAGACGGTAGAGAGCAAACAGATAAGAGACTCAAGCTGATTTCTAGCCATGGAGTCACCGACAAAAGCTAGATGCTTGTCTCTCATAAGATCAAGAAACCGGTTAGCGTCGAATCTCGGTATTTCGCATTGGTTCGGTTTCCATTTCCAATAAAGATAACCGGAATCTGGTCTACCATGTCGGAAACAATTCTGACCTTCTTTGATTGTTCCGCAGGTCGAACCGTTGTAGAGTGGACCAATCTCGTCTCTGATCCATTTTCCTTTCGTATAATCGCATAAAGCTTCTTCTTTTATACGATCAAAACTCTCTTGAGTTTCTTCTTCTGCAGATCGACACAAAGTATACTTAAACCATAGTTCTTGCATATATATACACAATCATATTGAATGATTTCGATTTTTACCTTGAGAAGAAGAAGAGAAACTTGTGATCACAACGTGAGCTTCAGATTCTTGGAGAGATGTGTCAACAATGGTGGAGAATGGGTTATAAAAACAGAGTCGAAACAGAGCTATTGGTAGAAATACTAAGACTATAAAAACAATGATTTTCCTCTGATTTAGAAAATTATGTTCCTTTTTCAATCCCATTTTAGGGGATACAGAACAAACCTTGA